CGCCGACCTCCCACCTGCCGCCCCCCTCTCTGCCGCCCCCCTTCCCGCCGCTGCTTGCAAGCGCATCTGCGTGGAGGGAGGTGACGACAATCGCCAAGGAAGGCATCACCAGCCTTGAACATGTCATGGACGCGCTTGGTGAGGCTGGGTTCGAGTTGGTGTCATCGCACGCACGTGTCACCTATGGTGTCGACACCGAGAAGTACATCTTTCGTCGCGCAGCATGATAACGCTGGGCCGTGGAGCGCGCCTCGAGTGGGCGGTACGCCAGTTCAATTTCTCGGCGCACGTCTCTGCGCCCTCCGCCCCTGGCCGCCCAATCCAGGCGTGGGAAAACACGTCTGGGTGCTTCTCGCTTGCGAACGCGGCAAGCTGGAAGGCAGTCGGCCCGCGCGGTGGACGCGACCCCCCCACGAGCACGACTGCCTCTTGATGCGCACTGCGGCCTAAATTTCTAAGAAGTAAGATGTGTATAAGAAAGGGTGCGTGGTCTCTTTATTTATTTTATCGAAATTTGGCGTAGGGACCTGGCTCGCGGCAGCGAGGTGGCATGCACACGGCTACACGCTAATAGGGTCATGCGGGCAAGACTTGGCCAAAAGTGAGGAGAGGGTTGTCGTTGTCGCCAGGAGGGCCTTCCTCGATGCCCTGCCCCAGCGCGGCGAGGCATCCCACATTGTCGGCTCCAAAGGAATAAAAAGTGTCATCTTGGCATGCGATGGTGAAGAGGCCGATCTCGCTGCACGCGGCGGCTCGCGCTCGATTCACTCCATCAAGCTTGAGAGGCTCACATATGATCTCTCCGAGCCCAACATACAGGTCGAGCCGAGCGTCGAGGAAGGGAAGGCTGGGAGCTGACTCTGAACCATAACCAGGCCAGTATCGAACAAAGTACGCGTCGCCCGTCTCCGAGAGCAGAATTTCTCCACTCGGAGGACAACTCGATATGGCACAGATGCCAGGCAAATCGATCTTAGCAAGGAAGGGCGTAACTGCGTCTGGCCGTTGCAAATCCTGAAAGCTCGTTCCGCGCTCACGATGCACAACTCTGAACGCTTCTCCACTTGTCGCCAGAAAGAGAGCCGCTCACAGCACAGACCGAGACACCAGGTGGTAGCCCCTTTATCGGTGCAGGCAAATGTTGTACGCCCGCCGAAGCTGAAATCCCAGGCAGCTCCCGATTCTCGGGCAGGCCCCACACGAAACAAGCGCCGCTCGTAGTCCACGCCGCGGCCGTGCAAGGGGCCATAGCCGCGCCGACGATTCTGTGCTCGTCCAACGCTGACACGCGCTGTGGGACCGAGACAAAGCGAAAGGGGTCCGCGTCAACATAGCCTGGTGCCTGCTGAACAGCCTGCTCGGAGAGCCCGAGCTGCCCAAACCCGGCATCTCCCCATGAATAGAGGACGCCATCGTTGGTCAAGGCGAGGCTGGTGCCCTCACACGCCGATACCAGGGCTACATTGGAGAGGGCCTCCACCTTGCGCGGCTCAATGACCCAATCGCCGTCGACTTCACCCATTCCCAACCTGCCATGGCTGGGCTCGCCCCAGGCGTACACCTCGCCGTTTGCCGATACGGCCAGAGTGTGCGAGTGTGCGGCCGCGACGCAGCGGATGGACACTGCTCCGAGGTCGATTTGCCGAGGCAAGCCGAACTTTGCCTCCGACCCTTGACCCAAGATACAATAGGGTGGCTCCTCGTCTTCAGGGCCCCCGAGCGACTGCTGGCCCGACACACGGAGCTGCCCATTGGATACAAAAACGCAGTGGTACCACGCAGCAGCGACCGCGCAGCGATGCCTTCCAAATCGTTGGCGACGCTCCTCCCACAAAAGAGCCTGGATCCCGAAATTGCCTGCAGCACCTCCGGCCCGGTCTCGCAGTGCCATCAGCGTGAGTTGCGCGAACGTAGTGCTCACACACGAACAGCGAGCGAGATCCTCCGAGTGAGGCAGCGACGCAAGCAGCCGCGCGAGCAGATCATTCGGCAAAGACAGCAGAGTCATGTCGCCCGTGACCAGTGGCGTAGTAGTCATGTCGCGGGAGGTGGCGGTGCGCTGGCTCTCAAGTGGATATCCTTTGGCTGTGCGGGTTGCGAGCATGTGTGATTACCGGTACAGCCGGCAGGCAAGGTTCGGACTCTTTGGAGAGGTAAGGTATGGTGCCGCCTTGAGACCATACCCCCCCGCCTGCTAGCAGACCTGCTGGGGGTATGGTAGGGCTAGTCTTGGGCGGTCAGGACCATACCCCCCCCCCCCCCACACCCCTGCACCCCTTTGGGCCGTGATGGTCTGCAGATGGTACCATGCCATACCCCGCAAAAAAAGAATCTTAAAATGCAAGCCTCTCCCACAGCACACTGGCACGACAAGGGCGCAGACAGGCGCGGGCACACACCCGCACACACTCACACACCCGCACACTAAAGAAAACGCGCCTGCATTTGTGGATGTCCTGCCTCAACACTCTGCCGATCCGGCGCCTCGCCGGTGCGCTCCGCGCCGTCAACATCGCGAACTGCCTCCTGCTGATCACTGCGGCGGCGCTCGGCTTCGGAAGCCTCTTGGGCGAGGCGGCCGGGGTTCAGCTCCAGGCCATGGCATCGACTGCGCTCGTCTCGGTCTACGTGCTGGGCTTTAGTGGGCTGCTGCTGTGCTACGAGCTGCGCCTGGGCGCCGAGCGTCTCTACGAGGAGTGCGGCTTCCTCTTCACCATGGGCGGCCGCTGCGCCTTTCTGCTGCTGACTGCGAACCTCGCCTGGGCGTGCGGGCCGTGGTGGCTGGTCGCCGCGCTCGTGACCAACGGCAACGCGGCGCTGCACGCGTACTTGCTCCTCTCCCACCCGGCCTACACCTCGGGCGGCCTCAAGTGGGACAGCGTGGACGAGGTTGCCGCCGGCGGCGGCACATCCGCGCCGCGAGATCCGGGCGCCCTCGCGCAGAGCGCTGCCGGCGCGCAGAGTGTCTCCGGGTGGGGGTTTGCGCCGGCGCTCGGCGCGGAAGGCGCGCCGAGTGCCGCCCCGGCGCCGGCGCCCACGCGCTACTACGAGGACGACGAGATTTTGTGACCGCGGGTTGTGGTCGAGGTTGTGGGGACGCCGCATGGCGCTGCACTTCAAACTGTTTGGGTATCCGTCTCGCCCGCGACGCGCACGTTGGACGTGCACGTGTGCGTGCGCGACGTAGCAATAGTCATTTTAGTCATGCAGCAGTACCTTCGAACACTCAATGCGGAATAGTGTGCTCTCACCGCCACCCACCCAAGCTGCAGAACATGTGCGGGCCAGCGGTAGCGCCTGACGCCTGTGTGACGCTCTCAAGGAGGAAGGAGTGAGCAGTGAGGCGCGGAGCGCCGTGCGCGGAGCGCGCCCCGAAGAAAATTTTGAGGGTTGTGGAGGGCTAGATGCGATTTCGATTAAGAGTTTGACTCACACGCTGGAACCACTCGGCCCACCCACAGGCCCAATCTCAAGTGGCGGCGCTCCGCACCTACCCAGTGCGCAGTGGCGCGCTCCGCGCGTTCTTTCCAGCGGCGCGCTCCGCGCGTGCTCTGCGGCAGTGCTACTGCATCTTCCGCAGCTCCAGCAGGTATCAGCAGTGAATTCACCGCCAGTTATCTGCGCCTCCGTTCGTCGCTCTCGTGCTTGATCGTCAGGCCGTGCTCTCACGTCCGCCAAACAACTCTAACACGCACACGTCATTTGGTCTCTCGTCTCTCTCTCGTCCGCCGGAGCTACCTCGGCTATCGGCACCATTTTACAAGTTTGACCGCCGACATGTCGCGGTCCGGCTCAGTCAAGGCAATGTCGCTCGGCGCTCGCTGGCTCCGTGGATGCTTGTGCTGCTGAGCAATCCAGGCGCACTTTGGCACCCGGCGGCAACGACTTGCGGCGTCAGCATTCGAACGGTTGTGTTGATTTGCTCTTGCTCCCCGCGGTATCTAGCCGGCGCGCTCCGCGCGGGTGTCCAGCTAGCGCGCTCCGCGCGTATGTCCAGGTAGCACCAGCGCGCTCCGCGCGCACC